CTCCCTCCTGTCCTTCCATTTCTGCCACTAACCACCCCCCATCTACACTCCTCAGGAGGGTGAGGCTCCCATGGGGGACCATCAAGGTCTGTCACATCATTTAGGATCTAGGCCTTCTCCTGAATATCTAGACTGAGAGAGTATCCCTCCATAGGGAATGGGATCCCAAAATCCATTTGTGCACTAGGGATAAATACTGGTTCCACTGCCAGAGGTCCCATAGATTTTTTAATGGGTACCCCAATTGCTGTCTGTCTCTATTCTGGTATGTATTTAATTCTGGCACCTGAATTTCTGCTGTATACAAACATCTTCTCTGTTTCTTGCTGCTAGCTGTACCTAGAACAATTACCTCCACTTTATAAATGACAAGTCATGACCCAACAGAAGGTAATCCCGAGATGTTTATTGAACACATGTTCCATCCTTGTTCGTGTCCATCCAACATGGCAGGAACTTTTAGGTATTAATATCCTATCACATCTGGGGCTCCTTTTAGAGTCTGAATACCCAAGAGGTGCTTCTATGCCTTTACTGTGAGCACTGAAACTTGAAGTCAATATGTCATTAGTCAGTGTGCTGTACAGTAGTTACCCAATTTCTACTCTGTGTCAGGAAACTGAGGATCTAGCCATTCCTAAGAAAGGCAGATTCCCTGCATCCAGAACCCTGATCCAATGTAAAAACCAACGTAGAAGAGGGAGCCTGTGTTCACAGTCATAGTTTACACAATCCACATGTTGTTCCATGTACAAAACAAGACCAAGGGTTCTTCTTATCCACAGGAAATACCATGTCACCACAATCCGCCTACCTAATATAACATCTCCTTCTCCTGTCCTCCTGTGGCCACACAGCCACAAGTCCTTCTCTTTTTTGACCCTGTTCCACCCACCCTCCAGACTTCACTTACTCTAGGCCTCTGTTTCCAGATCTTTCCCTGAGTCTCTTAGTCTTTCCATCCTTTCTTAGAGCAAATTCTGCATTAGCTCTTTCTACCTTGATTTTCTATGGTTAAAAATTAACTTTGCAAGCAAGACATTCACTAATTGCCAGGAATTTCTTCCACCAGAAGGCAAGTCTATATTTAAGTAATAGTTTCCTCATCTACCTTTGTCTCTAGCCCTCAGTTCATCTACAGTTGTGTCTACATATTTTAGTGGTGTTTTCTCAATTAACTTGAACATGGGACATTTCACATGTACCCACGATAGGCTGCTAGTTAGCAGGCAAGACCCTGCATCGTCTCGTCTCCTGGATTAGCTTGATGTTGTATCTCCATCTGCTGTGTCACTAACATGACAAAAGGGCTGTGAGTGATCTGACATGGAAGTAATCATTCAGAATGGACTGAAAGAATTGCCTGATCAAGCAACCGGCTTCCTTGTTGATGAGCAGATGGGACAACAATACTAGTGTGTTCTGATTTAGTATTAGCACTGATTGGGAAGCTCATAACAGGGATCGATGGGGCTGTGTTTGGGAATAGGTCCCTGCCGTTCATGTATTCTAACTTCTAAGAATTTCCGTTTGAGTCCTAGTACTGAAACATTCTTGTAAGCAGCCTCGTTCAGTGAGATATGTGTGACTAAGAGAAAAGTGAAAGATCAAATTCTCACTCTACCATATAAATAATCATGGGTCTTAGGTAATGGGCCTTTATGTGACCTATATTTCTCATCTTCAGGATGGGTGCAATAACATACAATTGTGGGGGCTCAATAGACATTAGATGAAAAATAATTTGTCAAAGGGTATTGACATTGCACTGTATTTTTATGTCTATCTAATTCTTTAGGATAAGTTTGGATTTACCATACTCCCTTATGTTTTAGAGGTTCTGGGAAAACTTACCCAACAAAAACAATGAGTGTGAGTAGTCTTAGAGTAACCAAAAAACCTGAAAAATACATCAGTTAAGTAATTAGTTACTCCATTCACTCACTCCCTTAATGCTTTATTCCTTCAAATGAAGTACATAATAAGTGCTGGGGAAATCAATGATGAAAGAAGGGAGATCACTGTAACTGCTCAGAGCTAGAAAGGGAGAGCTAGGAACAAAAGCAAAGAGATCAAAGAAACAAGTAGAACGAAGCATGAGATGGTGAGAGATATGAAGAGGAGGTTATCGAATTTAACAGAGCTATCGCCACTTACTGGGCATTATTGAAATCAGAAAGCTTCACAGAGAAAGCCACAAACCTTAGTTTGGGGGGGCATATTTTGGGCCATTCAGTACCCATTTTAATGGAGTCCCTGATTACAGTGGAAATTCCAGCATTTATATAAATATGTAAATTATATGCCAGTATGACTTATGATTCACATGCCATTATTCCAAGTTTCAAAACTAGTGTATTCCAGACTTAAACTTAATGTAATTGTGTATCTCTTTAGAATTATAAAAAAGTTTGGAGGTGAGGCAGAAAACAATTTTAATGGCTTGTACTTCCTGTTAATTCCTGAATTGCGGAATATTTCCGAAGAGCTAGCTTGTGACAATTATCTGTCATGCTTGGTCAGATCCATGGCTCCAAAGCATATTAACCTTAGTGAGTGGGGGCTCCCCAAGGCCTACACACTGTCCTTTCGTTGGAGTTTCAGAACAGAGGGATGTATAGACATTTCTGTGTTTTTTTAGCTGTTTATGTCTGATCTGTGGACATTTTCTCTAGATTGATACTAGCTCTTCCACTATTGTGAACTTTTTTTTATTTCTGGAAAATAATCCTGAAACATCTTCTTCTCTTGGTCACCTTTAACCCATTTAGTCTGGCTTCAGTCTCCCTTTTCCTAGTTATCTGTATTTCCCTGAGGAAACTGTATACTTTCTTTTCATTTGTTCAGATTGGAATATTCACATGGACAGACACACACAGAGCACAACCTTGTGGAAACACAGGGGTGCTGTAATAGGGACCTCATCAGTCCTCCATTAACTCCCTGCCAGTTTTCAGCTGCATTTAGTTCTTAACAAAGCACTTATAGGTGTTGGTTTTGGACACTCTTTCTTTCTATGGATGGTTTTCAATGTAAGCATCGTTGAAAAGCATTCTTAGGCAATCTGCTTTGCTAGTCTGCTTCATCCTATGGTTGCGTAGGGGATACCCAGCACTTATGGGGCTGCAGAGAAAAAATCAAATCATATTTGTGTTAAGAAAGTATCTCAGTTGGTAGAGCATATGTCCAGCTTGCATGAAGACTTGGATTCAATCCCTAGCATTGTATCAAGTAGGTGTGTTGCTAAAGAAGTATCAGGTAGAGGCAGGGATATCACAAATTCAATCCCATTCTGGCTACATGAGACACCAATTTAAGACATAGAGATGTAAACTATATATTCCTGTCCTTTCTTTACTGGGTACCAGCAAGTTCTCTATGTTGAGTGTGTAGCACAATTTAGCTGGAGCCTTTCATTCCTCTCAGAGGTCTTCAAAGACAGGCTGAAAGTCTGTCTGGTTAGAAAGTTAGTCTCAGAGCCCATTTGCATAATCATCAGCAAGCTATTGGAGCTGTAGCTGACCAGGCTTTCTGTGACTCAGTTTCCTGTTGATTAAAAAAAAAAAAAGAGGGAGTTAAACATAATACCTACATCTTAGGTTTGTTGCCGTGATTAAATGAGGTAGTATATAGAGTGTTTAATGTGAGCTGACGAATAGCAAACTAGAGTGATTATAACTGCCTAGGAATAGTATCTCCTATGACCCTTGTAATAATACAAGCCTCTAGTAATGGTCAGAGATTTTTTTTTTACCTCCTATGTCTGGCATAATATATCATCTGATCAGAAATGTGTTATTTGGTATAGAAAGGACTGAGAAATGCTATTACTGTTCTTTTCCCCCAAGCAAACCACAGACTTTTTGGAGTTTATGTTGACCTCTCTTCTTCTTCCTAAAAATGTATCTCTAACCACCACTGACTTTCACCCGCTGCCCCACTCCTGTTTGAGGACACTGCAGGCACGCTGTGGTTTCTGTTTGTACACATGACTTAGAGGAGGGGCTCCTTAAAAGCTCACTCAGTTCCTGATGAAAACCCTGCACGTAACAAAACATGCCTAATACCCATATCCAGTAAATATGCTGGTGCCATACTAAATTCTGTAATCACCTCCTGGTCTTTGTATCTAACTGTCTCCTTGTTGAAATATTTATATTCTGTACTTGGGAAAACACCTTCTGACCATGTCTTTCTTCATAAAACCACGGAGGTTTCTCTTGTATAAGCCATTGGCACACCTGATACATGCTTGCTCTCAGAGGGTTGGCCTCTGTCGCCACAGAGGATTTGTGTGGAATTTCCATAGCAGTGTTAAAGACAGCCATAGCGATGCCAGAGGTTCTTGTGAAATATATGATTAGCATGTACCACAGGAATTAATAATTGTCAGGCCACTGTCTTAAGCTATAACCACATTGTTTTGGTAGGGAAGTTGCTCAATTTATAGTCAAAAAAATGTAAACGGCTGCATTCTGACCAAGAAACCAGCTTTATTTGAAATCCATATACCCAAAAGTACTCAGAAAATGCTACTTAGTATGCACATGCCATGTCACTGTGAGTGACAAATTAAGGTAATTTCCTTGATAAATTGATGATTTGATTCTTTTCTTTACCTCCCAAAAGCCTAAGTAAATACAAAGGGAGAATGACATCTCTAAAAATAGTGTTTTAATGTTTTTTTCCCAGAGTAAAAAAAATGAAATTTTAATTTAATACTTTTCAGAATTATAAAAATGAAATAATCGATTGGAGATTGTGCCAATTTGGAGTTTCTCAATTAAGCAGTAACATTGGAAACATATTTCTAGTGTGATAGATTTTAGTAGGTCAGCATGCACACCCAAATGTATTAAGGTGGACTACTCAGTTTATTGATTTTCTGTGCATCTGCTAAGGGCTCAAGGCAATTGTCTGCGGAAGGGGCGGGAGGCCCATACATGATCGAGGTCATGCGCATCTAGCCAATTTGTAAGCTGATCCTCCGCCCAAAGCCATCAGCAATCCTTAGCATAGGGGCACACTCATGCATTCCTGTCAAGTCATCTTGTGAAAGGCTGCCTGCTTCCAGCTTGGCTTGGATGTGCAACCTTAATAAAACTCACTGAGGTCTGGGAGAAAATAGCAGATCTGCTGCAGATAGGGTAGAGGAACGGGGCTAGAATATGTACTCGCAGCTGACTCAGGCAGCCTCCACGCTGAACAGTCACACAGAGAGGAAACAATAAATCTCAGCTACTATGCAATAAATATCTCAAGTTTTAACGTAGGAAACTATCATTACAGTAAACTTTTTTTTTTTAAAGTAACATTTTAGAACAAAGCTAACAAATGGCTAGTTTTCTGTGGATCTCCTTTAAACGCTTTCTTTAAAGGGGAAAGAGTCAAACAAGCAGTTTTACCTGAAATAAAGAACTAGTTTAAAGGTCAGAAGAGAAGAGCAAGCTTTGTAGGAGGCACGGAAGGCGAGTGCTGGCAGTACAATGACAGTTTTCCTTTCCTTTGCATTCTTCGCTGCCATTGTGACTCACATAGGGTGCAGCAACCAGCGCCGAAGTCCAGAAAACGGAGGCAGAAGATATAACCGGATTCAACATGGGCAATGTGCCTACACTTTCATTCTTCCAGAACACGACGGGAACTGCCGTGAGAGTGCGACGGAACAGTACAACACGAACGCTCTGCAGAGGGACGCTCCACACGTGGAGCCTGATTTCTCTTCCCAGAAACTTCAGCATCTGGAGCATGTGATGGAAAATTATACTCAGTGGCTGCAGAAAGTAAGTGATCCGCTTTCAGTTTCTAATTGCATAGAGCCCTTTCCGTTCCATCCGTGCAGCAGCGAGCTCAGAGTTCCATAGGGGGGCATTTGTGTTTACCTTTTGCACCAGGGAGCAGTGTTTGCAAAAGAAAAGGGGCTCTCTTCTCTGGGCTCTACTTCCTGGGTAAGCCAAGGATCCTGGGGCTCCTGCGAACCTCTGATCTTGTGGCTGGGGCTCCTGCGAACCTCTGATCTTGTGGCTGCCTTCTCGTTTGTGCATCTAACACTGACACATTTTATGTTAGCGCTCCTTTTCTCTATTGTAAAGTTTATCTTGAGCATTCTGACTGTCAAAGCCCAACTGTAGAAAGGAAAGCGCGCAGTTCTTAGACAAGCTGGTATAAAAAGAAAGGAGTTAGTGTGCTACCGTGGGAAATCGTCATAAAATATTTAGTTCCCAACCCCCAACTTTTAATAAAACTATCATGAAGTGAGAGTATTATATTCGTTTAGAAAGATTGTATTTGTTAGTAAAGGGGATTTAAATTCTCAAGCACTGGAGGAGCAGGGATGACATTTGTCATATGTTTCATCTGTGCATGAGAAAAAAAATCAAGAAAGCACATTCTGATATGAAGCTACAAGAAAGGGGTTTTGCCCACATTGAAGGTAGAAATTAAACCCACGGTGTTTCCTGAGTGCACCTGCAGACTGGGCTGAACACAAGAAGGCAGTGCTAATTCCTGACCAACCTCCTTTCCCTGGGTTAGTTACAGAGACAGTGCCCTCAGAGAGTCTCAGTCTCTTTCCAAACGTTAAATTGAATACACATTTGATCCAGATTTATTCAAGTTAAATTGATGGGCACATGGCTCCCTTTTCCTGAGCCACGGAACATTTTGTAGTTGCTGTTATTAAGACTGCCTTCTCAATGGTGTGTGGTTTCTCCAACTCATTCCCTTTCTGCTGTTTAGCCACATAACAGGTAATTGAACGTTTCTATAGCCATGGCAGCATTTCCTTTTGTGGACTCTTCTCCCCCAGGACCTGTGCTAAACACTGGGCAGGAGGATCACTAGTAGGCTATCACAGCTAACCCTCTAAGAAGATGTGAGGTGGAGGAAAGACACACTTCTGTTCTGTGAGGTCCCAGTCACATTAGGTCTCTGCCTGCTGAATCGTGCCTGGTGGTAGTTCTTCTCCTTCTGTCCACTAGGGACTGAACTAAGATCACAGTTATTTTCTCTGGTCATGTGGACTGGAACTTGGCAGGTCTGGAGTTCCCAAACTTGGAATTGCAGCTTCCTGCTACAGATCACAGGTGAAATGTAGGAGGCAAACAGTCTTTAAGGATCATAGATAAATTTCCCGGCACTATTCATAGTATTAGTTTATGATAGAACATCTGGTTTTTCTTTGGCAAAATTTCATTCTACAGTGAATAAATGACTTTGGTTTAATAGTTTGTTATTATGGTTGATATCCCATCCACAGTGTTTTCAAAGAGAACTGAATCATGATAAATTAGTCTGGGTTCTTTGAGGGGGACACCAGTGGGAAATATACTTCTAAATTGTGAATGAGCTATTCTACCAAAAATGTCATGTTTTGTTTGCTTTAAACATACACTCAAAATGGTGATTCACACAGCAGTACATATTTTTTTTGTTGTTGTTGCTATGCAATTATTCAGCAGTGACAGGGCATATGCACAATTCTGCTGGGGTTACATCATGCACACATTTCGCATGTTAATTTGCTTTGTGAAATAAATTGGATTCCTGCTTGCTTTGTTCTTAGTCAGATTATGGCATAGTTTTCAGATTATAGCCAAGCATAAGTATTAAAATGTTCCTTGGTTATATCAATCCTCACAAGAATGAATCAAGCTGAATATGTTGAAATGTCCCAGTTGGTATGAGTCAGAGCAATTGGCTTGGCTATTGTCTGCTTGGATTTGCATATCTTTTGTCACTGTTAATGTGATTGGTTGGAGGATCAAGTAACCAAATAAATGCATTCATCAAAGAACTTGCTAAAGACTCTCATAAATTTCCCTTAATTAGTGTTTTCTTCAACTCAGACTCTAAACTTCATGTAATATGTTTGTTTTGAACTCATATGCACACTCTTTTTAACCATAATTATTTGGAATACAATATTTATAGCTTTTGCCATTCCTATTTTGATTGTTAATAGCTGCTTTAGATTAAGAAGTAATGTACTTCTAAAACTGATACCAACTGTATATACATCAAATCAGTCCAGTTGATTCAACAAGATTATTAATCAAAGTATGATACATATTATATACCACATGGCATCACTGTCAGGAGTTCTGATGTAGAATAAATGTTATCAAGGCTAGATAAAGCCAGACGATTGTTTTTGGTAATCTATTCTTATCCTTAAACACTGGTAAAGTGGATCTTTATAAATACTCTTTGTAAGATGTTGGTCATCACAAGATTCACCTTATAAGGCTCTCAATTTTCAATTACCCAACTTTGTATGTCTTACGACCCACAAGCAAGTTATGTGAGAGAGCAAATGATCCATTAGTTTCTGCAAATATCAGAACTTGATGGTATGACTCTCTTGACATCATGGGCTTAATTCAAGAAGGTCCGTTTTCCGTGATCTTCTGTTGTTAATATGATGTCAGATGACAGCACTTGCCAGAAAGCTGGGAGCTGTGTAATCTTATGTTCATAGTACATGGTTAGATTTATTATTTGAAGCTCCTATATTATAAAGCTCTTTGGGGAACTATTCCCAATGATAGCAGTTGAATGAAAGTGAACACATCTTGGGTACCTAACAGTGAATACAAATGGATGTTGACTTTTTTTAATTTACTATTATTGAATTTTTTTAACTTTCTTTCTTTTTCCCTCTCTCCCATCCCCCTTCCTCCCTCCCCCCCCCCTCTCTCTCTCTCTCTCTCCCTCTCTCTCTCTCTCTCTCATTTCTGTGGAGGTCATAAAACAACTTGTAAGAATCAGTTTTCTCCTTCTACCATTTGTGTTTCAGAGATCAAACTTGGGTCTTCAGACTTGGTGGCAAATAACCTTCACCTTCAGAGCCATCTCACTGGCCCCTCTTGATAGTTGTTGCTGTCATTGCCACTGTGTTTTGTTATTGTGGGTTTTTATATTTGCTTGGTTTTTAAGACAAGGTCTTACTCTGCACTTACTCTAAGCCAGCACTTAGAACTCACTATCTTGTGTAGTGTTGGGTGGCCTTGCACCTATGGCTGATCAACCAACCAATCCTCTTGCCTCAGCCTCCTAAATGTGAGGGTTACAGGAGGTTTGGTTGCTACTACTGCTATCATGCTTTTTACTTGTTGCGCTGTGAAGGAATAAAACCCTTTCTGGCCACAGAAGCTGGGCAGTTGTGGATGCCATAGACTCAGTGTAAGCTTCTACCCAATATTAATTCTTTCAGTAGACCGCAGGGTTTAGGGCCAAGGCAAGACCTTTCCCAGTTCATGCTCATCCCTTCTTCCACCATTTCACACTGAACAGTCATTGGCTAGTGATCACCCCATAGGTAATTAGTGGAGTGTGTCATTTAAAATGAGAAAAAAATGATTTCTCCCTTAAAATTCTCCTAGAACTCCCCATCCTGAAAGAGCAAATCCCCAGTTCCTTACCACAAAGCCTTCCACCATCCTCCCTTTCCCCCCTCACTGGCCCCATCATTATTACCTTCAAAGGACATTCCAGACACTCAGATGCCATGGCTTTTCTTGTGTTTTCTCCAGGAGACAAGCTCCTTCCCCTGGGGCACTTACAAGCTATTTACTGAGTGCAGAAAATTGGTCCCCGGCTATTAGCATGGATGCTTCTGTCCCCCTAGGTCTTCACCTCCTCAGACATTTCCCCTGTGCCACCTTCTCCTCCTCAGCTTGCTGAGTGCCACGTTACACCGCCTCGTTTTTATGGTTAAAAAAAAAAAACCTAAAATACAATCACATCATTTCCCCTTCCATTTCTCATCTCCAACCTCTTGTACATATCCCCTTGAATTCTCTCTTCAGTCCATTAGCTCTTATGCTGTTAATTGTTTAATATGTGAATATATAAATACAACATGTTTAGTCTGTTTATAATTTTACTTGTATGTATATGATTTGGGGACTGAGCACTGGGTATTGATAATTAAGTCTCAGGTTCTCTGCTGAGGAAGGCTGTTTCTCACTGTCAGCTTTCCTTGGTTGCCTGGAACTATTTCTCTAGTGTTGGAGCCACATTGAAGTTTCCCGTTCTATATTAGCATGTCTATTAGTATGACTTTTAGCATTTCCAACATTTCTGGGGTCCCACGGCTGCATATGTAACCATCAGCATGCAGGCAAAATGCTTAAGTCACCCCAGGTGTTAGCATTTCCAGGGGTGGCTGCACAAGTGCCATCAGTCTTCTGGTAAAATGCCTAGTCATTCCAGGGCCCTATGTAACTTATTTGAATGCATGGTGTCCCCATATGCATAAGTCCCCATATGCACGGCATGAGCAACCTTTAAAGGTAGACAAGCCTCTCTCTCTCTCTCTCTCTCTCTCTCTCTCTCTCTGTGTGTGTGTGTGTGTGTGTGTGTGTGTGTGCGCATGTGTGTATGTATGTCTGTGTCTGTGCATGTCTGTCTTTCTCTCTGTGTCTCTCTCAGTTTCTGTCTCTCTCTCTCTCTCTGCATTTCTTCCAGATAGGCCTGTGCATACCCTCCTCTCCCTTTCCCTCCTCTCCCTTTCCCACTCTCTAGTAATAAAACTCTTAGCGTGGGCCTGGTTCTTAGAGTGGGTCTGTTCCAGTGCATAGTAAATAACAGTGGTCCTTGTTCATGTGTTCAGGTCTGGTTTAAGCAGCAATGATAATGAGGCTTTATGGGTATAACATCTCTGACATTTCTAGAGACAGGTTCTCACATCAAATTCCCTGCTTCTCTGGTTCTTACAATCTTTCTACCCTCTCTTCTCCTAGGAACAGATCTTTCTTTGGGGGACTGGACATTACATGAT